CGATGGAGAACGACCTGCGGGAGGCAGTACAGGGACCAGATCACTCCTGGCTCCTCGACGCCCACGTGGACTGCCCCTGGGTGCGCAGCACCAGCCAGCGCGACCACCCCGAGGCCGTCAAACGACAGACCCTGATCGACGAGGTGCAGAACAGCGGCGTGCGTGACAAGCTCCAGGAGACCAGCTACTACCTCAAGTCCCACGTCCTGGCTCGGCTGCCCCCAGCCAAAGCAGAGGGGGCCATGCTCAAATTGGAGCAGGCACTGCTGGAAGCCACCCGCGATGGAGGACCCACTCTCTCGGAGGAGGCAGGCGCGGCGCTGGATAGGCGCCAAAGCAGGCAACCTGGGCGGGGAGCCCGACGTGGCGATCAGCCCCGCGGCCTGGGACGAAGCCCGCGAGACTGGCACGGGGACCGTGAAGCTACTCGGCCAAACGTGGCGGTGTTGGGACTACCAGGACAAGTTGCCCTTTGAGCCGGAGCTCGCAGCACGCCTGGGGCTCCCGGCCGACACCCACGAGGAAAGGCAGTGCTTGGTTCTACATCTGGCGGGCGCGCTTTTGGGCGAGCACGGCCACGACCCGTCCACCGAGGTGTGCGAGTTAGCCTTGGTCCTTCTCTGGTCCCGCTGGGGCCAGGCGACGACCGCTGCCGCCGCGCTGGGCGACCCACCGCCCCTCGTCTCCCCGCTGGAGGCGGAGCTGAGGATGTGTTGTCACGATGCACTGATGCCACATCATGACAAGGATTTCCGATGCATCACGCTGTTCACCCTCCCAGAGTTCCAGGACGCGACGCTCCGCGCTTGGAGGGTGAACCATTGGAACCAGCTGGGGCTGGACACCGTTGTCCCAGCTGAGATAGCCCAGGCCCCAGCCCCCAACCCAGGAGGTGTCTGAAGTGCCGTTCGAACGATCGGGGTGGGGGGTTGGGTGGCGTCTTTCCCTGTCGGGGCGGCCGGCGGCTCGGGTGGCACGCCGGGCGGGGCAAGCCCTGTTGGCGGCGACCCTCGCTCGCCTGGCCCTGACTCCGCTGGGCCCTCGGGGCCCCCGATCATCGGGCTCCCGTGGTACCCCTTCCGCAGCCGCGGGTCCGGGTCGGCGTCGTCGTCGTCGTAGTACGCCGGCCCGTAGTCCCACTGCGCGTGGGGGAATGGCCAGCCCGCGGCCGTGGACAGCAGCGCGGCAGCCAGCAGCAGCGCGCGGCAGGGGGTCCCCGGCGCCGCGCGGCGCCGACCTCCTCCTCGCGCGCACTCGGCCACGGCCAGTGGCGGCAGCGCCGCCGCCCCCCAGCCGCGGGGCGCCCCGCGCGGCAGCATGGCACGGCCGCGCGTGAGCACTCCTGGATCCCCGGGATCATCCGGGTTCCCGGAGTGGGCCTCCGGGATGCCTTGGCCTCTGGGCCACCTGAGTCCGGCCCCCAGCTTGACCCAGAAAGCTTGAGCGGGGACGAATGCAGAAGGGGAAAGCAGAGAGGAAGGGGAAAGGGCAGGAGAAAACAAGCCCCCGCATTCCTGGGGACAGGGAGATCCTAGCGTTTAAACCAAACAACTAAAAACAGGCGCCCAAAGCAGCCAAGATCTGTTCCAGGGGGGCGTGGAGGGTGGGCGCGAGGCCCCGCGCCGATCGGCAAGACACGGGATAAGAAAACGATCGCATGTCCAACCTTGAGCGGGACCTGCTTCTGACATGTCTCCACAGCCGCACTGCAAGCACAGAGGAATTGTCGGGCTCGCCCTCGGAACCGCTGCGGTCCGCTCCGTCCGTGTCTCGCGCAGCTCCTCCTCCCGCAGGAGCCCCACTGGACGACCCGCTCAACGATCCCCAACAGATGCTGCTGCTCACGCAAATTCTGGCACAATCTGGTCAGGGCTTCACTTCGCTCTCTGGCTGACCTCCGTCTTCCTCCGGGGAAAAGTTTGCAGCTCTCTTGTGCCAGTGCTTGAATGCATCCTCGAACCCTTCCTACAGTGCTCCATGAGTTGGCCCCAACATCTCTCTGGAGGGATAAAAGAAAGCTGGGGTCATAAACCTCTGTGCCTTTTCCCTCGGACTTCTATGTGCTCCTCTCCTCCCTCCTCGTCTGGAGTCCCTCCTCCGGGATATCGGACAGCCAAAGTCCAAAAACGATCTGCACGGCAACACCCGCTAAACAGCGGAAGACCCGCTACACGCTGCAGGATCTTCCCCAACGAGCGTACTTTCTGCTGAGCAGACGCGCTTCTGGTCAAGTGCATCCTCTCTCTCCTCCCTTCCTCCAATCCTGCCACCCCCGTGGTGCCTACAGGCGCACCGACAGCACGCCGCTGTGAGCCTCTCGCTCCTCCTTCCTGTTATCCTCCGGCCGCCTTCAGAGCTGTCTCTCTGGAGCATCGAATTCTCTCATGCTTTTTGTTGCCCTCGCCTAGGACCTAGGTGCCTCCCTCTGTACCCCTCCTGCCGCTGGCAAGTCCGTCTCTCCGGGGACGTTTTTTCCCCCACGGTGGATAAACACAGTGTTCGCTAGCGAGCTCTTCTGCACGAGTGATGGCTCAGTGGAGGATTACTGCCTTCCCATATTCCGCCGAGACCCCTAATGGGACGGTCTAATCGATCTCTCGCGGGTCTCGGCGATGCAGGTTTGCCTGATGGGCTTCTCCGAAGGAGCGTCCTCAGGTAGCATGTTCTCCCACGCCCAATTTACAACACACTCTAGTTCCCATGCCACACGGGTGTCAAATCCTCCCGAGCGGCAGATTCTTTGACTCCAAGGGGTATCCTTTCGGTTGTCATCTGCTGCGCAACAGCGGCCGAACCCGCCTGGAGGGCGCGTGGTACAGCACGACGGTAGTCGCTTGCGTTCATTCTCCCTTCCCTTCCCCTCCCTCCTCCCCTTCCCTCACATCTCTTTCGCCCGCCGCGTGGAGCGGTCGTACGTGGGACCAGGTTGTGGCCATCTCCATTGTCGAGGTGTCCTCTTCTGTGCAGTTGAACGTTTTCCTTTTCGGCGTCTTGATGTTGGGCGGAAGGGGCAAAGGGGAATGGGGGGCCTGGCTCCAGACCTCTGCCTAGTGCGACTGTTTGCAGCAGCGCGTCCTATGGGGGAGACTCCACCCGCTCGAAACAGGCGCCAACACAGCCAAGATCCATTCCAGAGAGGGGGGAGAAGGGGGGGGGGGTGCGATGGCCCGGGCCGATCGGCGGAGCCGTGGCCCATGGAGGGCCGTCGGCCGACACCTTGTTGTGCGCGGCTTTGCCTGTGCGGGGTGCTGATTAGGAGGGCAGGAACCCTCCTCCCCCCCATCATAATCACCCCGGCAGGCAAAGCCGTGCTGATAAGAGGGCAGAATGACCCCCCCATCATAATCACCCCGGCAGGCAAAGCCGTGCTGATTAGAGGGCAGAAAGACCCCCCAATCATAATCACCCCGGCAGGCAAAGCCGTGCTGATTAGAGGGCAGAAAGACCCCCTCCATCATAATCACCCCGACAGGCAAAGCCGTTTAGTAAACGCACCCAGGGAAAGAATCGAACAGGGCAGGGCTGTTTAACAAAAGCGCCAAGGGCCGCTTGGCCAGCGTCGATTGTCGGGTCCAGGTGGTGTTTTTTTTTCTCCCTTGGCTGATGGACCGTGGCGGCGGAAATCATCGCTTCTTCTTTGTCTTTGCCCGCCAGACCGCACTCGTTTCAGTCTTCCCCCTGCTTGGCCCCAGGTAGCTATGCTCTACCTCAGGCGGTTCCGTAGCGCCTTTTCAGGCTCCTTCTGGCGCCTATTGCCTATTTGCTGTTTGCGGTCGCAGGCAAAACGACGCGGGGCACGGCCATGCAGCCGGGCCGCTGAGCAGCCCATCAGGACCCCCATTCTACTTTCGCGCGCCCAACTTCCGCCTGCCCTGCAGGGCAGCCAGCCGCCTTTGGCTCCGTTCCCCCCACTCCTCCTCCTTCTCCTCCTCCTCCTCCTCCTCCTCCTCTTAGCTGAAAGAGAGATTCCTCCTGCCTTTCCTTCGTCTTAGCGGAGGCCACCCTGTATCTGGGGAATTTCCAGCATGGCCCCAGTGCGGGAGCGCGACGTGGTAACAGCCTCCCCGTCGGCAGCATCTAGGCGTGGTACCCCTACCCGCGCCCTTGCGCTCTGACGGCATACGCTCGGTGTAACGCCAGGCTGAGTTCAAAGTCCCCGCCCTCGACCAGGACGACGTCCTCGTCCTTGTCCCCACCCCTTCGGCCACACGCAAGAGCGACCCTAGGCACGAGTGACATCTGGTGCGGCTTTAACGGGCCGCGGGGAGCGTGTGGGGAGGGGGGGGAATCCAAGCACGCGAGTAAACACTGGGCGGACCCCTGTGGGCCCGCACCAAGGGTCACTCTGGCGAGTGGCCGTTCTTATGCGCATATAAAGCAGAGGCGGGATGAAAATCAAGTCGGATAAAGATGACTCAGATATCTCTGGGTGCTGGCGAATCTACAAAAATTGTCTGGCTCCGCGGCCGTTCTGGAACGAGCTCAGAACATTCCGGAATGAGGGGGGGTACCTGGTTGCTGGCCGCTGCTTCACCTTCCACTCCTCCTGCTGCTCCTCTTTCTTTCGCCTCGGGCATGGTGCAGTACCCGAGCGACCGCCGAGCGAAGGAGCAACGCGTGGAGCAGGGGAGCGCGAATCGCTGGAGCAGGGAAGGACACAGCTACCCGGAGATGTAATTCTTCGGTGCCCGCCCCAAGAGGTCCCAACCGCTTCCCGTGGAGGTCGTTCTTCTCCCCAGGTTGGCGCTTGATGGCCCCGGGGCCAAAGGAGAGGCCCCAGAGGCCGAAACCGAGGATCACTTTTTTTTTTTTTTTTTTTTTTTTTTTTTTTTTTTTTTTTTTTTTTTTTTTTTTTTTTTTTTTTTTTTTTTTTTTTTTTTTTTTTTTTTTTTTTTTTTTTTATATATATATATATATATATATATATATATATATAAACAAAAAAACACTGTCGGAGCTCTGGGCCGGAGGGGCCTCCCTCGCGCCGCCGCCCGCGGCGCCTTGTTGGTCTGGTCCATCGCTCTGTGCAGCCGCCCCCGCGGCAGGCAGAGCTGGCGCGGGCGGGCGCTCGCGCGCGCGCTCGCGCGCGCGCACTGGCCAGGGGCTGGGGCCGCCGCCGCAGGCAGTCGCCTGCCGCCGTCACACGCCTGCCGACCGCAGGGAGCGAGAGGGAGGGCGGGAGGGAGGGGAGAGAGGGGAGAGGGAGGCGAGGGGAGGGAGGGGAGGCGAAGCGGCAGCAGGGCGACAGACGACGAGGGGAGAGAGGCAGAGAAGGCGACCGCCGTCGCCATCGCAGGTCGCAACTCGCAGGTCGCCGATCGGACCCCTTGGTGCCGGACCCCCAGGGGTCCGGACCCCCCCCCCCCGGTCCCAGACCCCCCCCCCCCCCGGTCTGGACCCCTCGTCCTCGCTCGTCCTCGTCCTCGTCCTCGTCCTCCTCCTCCTCCTCCTCCTCCTCCTCCTCCTCCTCCCTCCTCCTCCTCCTCCTCCCTCCTCCTCCTCCCTTGGAAGACGTGTCTATTTTGGTTTAGAGGCGCGGCGATGCCGAAAGGCACGCCGCACACGCCAGCGGGCACCGCCCGCCTGCTGCCGCGCGCGGCGCCGGCGCGGAAGGGGCGTGGCCCCGCGGGAGCCCTCCGAGAGATCCGGCGGGTCCGGGGGGGCGCCGTCGGGGCGCCGCGGCCGCTCTCCCGAGGGGCGCCGTGTCTTCGTGCTCGGAAGAAGACGCGCGGGGGGAGAGCGGCAGAGGAGAGAGATCACCGGAGGAGGAGGAGGAGGAGGAGGAGGAGGAGGAGGAGGAGGAGGAGGAGGAGGAGGAGGAGGGAACGAGTGTCGGCTACACGGAGGGAACGAGTGTCGGCTACGGCAGGTTCGTGTCGTGCCGACCCCAGCGTTGGTTTTTGACACCGCAGGGGTCGTTCAACCTTGAACGATCGGCCGCTGCCGCAACGTCCGATCGTTCAACATCGATCGATTCTGGGTCGCCGGCGGCGTTCAAGGTTGAACGCCGCTGGCGGGGTCGCCGCCAGTCGACACGACGCAAACCTACCGTACACGCAGGAGTGACCCTGGTTAAGAGTGACCTTTGGTGCGCGGCTTTGTGGGGGCCGCAGATGGACCAGACACGAGCGCGCAAGACCCTGCCGTCGCACAGCGCTCGGCGATATGGGGGACCCCCGTGGGCCCGCACCAAAGGTCACTCCAGCGAATGGTCACTCTTACGTCTAGTCGAGGACGGGGGTCGCCTGGCTGCTGGCCGCTGCTTCACCGCTATCTCTTCCTCCTGCTGCTCCTGAGCTTCCTGCTGCTCCTCTTTCTTTCGGCAGGCGTGGTGCTGCACTGGTGCAGCAGGGGAGAGAAAGGTATGGGAGCAAGATGCCGGCGAGCGGATGGATGTCTGGCCTCGCAAATTCTGTGCAGCGCGGTGAGGCGAAGCTCATCGGAGAAGCTGGCGAGGGTCAAGGTTCAGTACGAGAGGAGCTATGCTCTCGGGATCTCGATGGGGTGCAGTAGCCCAGTGAGTGGCACGGGACCGTAACTCTTGCTGGCGTGACGAGATGGTTTGATCGCGACTTTCCCCCCACCCAAATCTTTCGGTCTACCTCCACCTCCGATGAATCGCAACCCCGCGTTGTTTGCTGTGGCCTTGAACTCGAGGTGCTCAGAATAAGTTGCGGGACCTGTAGGCACAACAGCTGTGACCTGTGCTCAGGTGACATACGCCCCCCGCCACCGCCCAAACAACCTCCATCTCATCCACCGAAGCCATGTGTTTGCTCAAGCACTCGTGTTCGGTGAGGACGGTCTCGCCGTGGCGCTACGAGGCTGACTACAGTGAAAGCGCTGAATTGCCGCGATACAAGCGGAGGGATGAAGGTTGAGATATAGTGGGAGATCTGGGCCTAACCACAAACCGCACACAGCAGAGAACATCTCGTACCCCCGCCAACACCCAAGGAAGCACCGCACATCATGCGTCTCACTTGCTGAATACAGCGCGGAGAAATCAAAGAGCCCGGCACGCCCTGCATGGTGCCAATACGGCCGAGAATGAAGAGGCTGCGGCATCAGTGGGAATTTTGACGTGTGAGGCCCGAAAGGTAGATCGCCACATACGCACTGCACAGCAGCTCACTACTCAGCAACCGAAGTCTCTCCCTGACGCCACGTTGCTCGCTTGCAAATAGTTGGCAACATGTCTGCCATTCTTGCAAAGTCCACTAACACATTGGATACCAAGCGGGAGTGAGAAAAGGAGCGCCAGATACGTGTCATATTGTGTCAGGTCAGGTTCGCGGCATCTGTAAGAGCAGACGCGAACGGATACGAACAACGAGTGCAAAAGGCTGGCTGTATGATGTTCAGGTCAACGCTGGACCAGAATCGACGATGATGCACATCGCATCCAAGGGGCGACTCGTTGGCAGCCCACGATCACCTTGCCCAAGGATGCTGATTGATCCCTTCATCTATTATCGACGGCCGAGAGTAAGAGGGTGTTTGGTTCTGCGGGGGCAAGGCAAGGGGGGATAAGGCGCGGGGGGGAGCCTTGGCTTAGGCTTCCGGCCAAACGAGCTGCATTGCGACTTTCCATCCTGCTACCTGAGAGAGCCATTCTGAGCTCCTCCTGAAGGCGTATCGCGGATGCTGTTATGGTGGCCAGTGGCTATCACATGGCTCGTTCCCGAAATCTTGGGCCCAAACAGGTTCACACACCTTTTCGGCAGCACACCTTTTTCTTTCGACGCCAAGATCTGAAAGCCCCTCATGCCGCTGCCGCCCGACACGGCCCGAGACGCCGGCACAACCCAGCCCCGAAAGCGATGCGGCGCTCCTCCAGCCAGCTCGTCACAACCAGCTGGCAGCCGTCGGACAGCGGCTCCGCCTGGCAGGGGGGGCCCAGCGCAGAGGTGTCGTCGACGCGCACGTCCAGACCAGACCCCGCGGCTGCCTGGGGTTGCTGCTACCTGCGCATTTGTCGCCGCTCTTGTGGGCTCCTGGGGGGCCCAGCGCAGTGGTGTCATACGCACCTCCAGACTCACCTCCAGACTAAACTCGCCTTCCTCGCGGAGATCTCCCTCCCCTCTGGGTCTGATCTTCTCTCCCTCCATCCTGCTAGCCTCACGCCTGCGTCGTGCGTTGGCGTTGGGTGGAGTCGAGACCAGGCGAGTACCCCTGCCAGAGAGCCACGAATGCCCCCGCCCCCTCCCCACACGCTGGCACGTGAGTCCTCCCTCCATCCCACTCTCTCCCCGTGCCTCTCTTCGAGAATGGTCGCATCCATCCATGGGCCATCGCTCGTACGTCCATTCCATGTTTTTTTTTTCGGTTTCGTGCGTGGTTTTTTCGCAGGATGATCCAGGATGCTCCGTAAGAATCCCCGCCGAGAAAAAGTGCACACGTCCGAGCGATGCCAAATCCATGGGCCCACGTTGTGGGGCCGCTGTCGGCAACCCGCTGGGCCCCGCAGCTTTCCACTAAAGGGACTGAGCCCGCAGTCCCGGAAGGCCACCTCGCTGGGAGGTCACCAACCAACCAGCCAACCAACAAACCCACTCCCTTGCCTGTCGTCCTCCTCGCTGCGCCCTCCCTTGCAAATTCGGCCCTGGACCTTTCCACAGGTGCGTTGCGACTCGAACTTCGAGGGGAATCCACCCGTGGCGAAAACAAGTTACCTGGAACCCCCAACAGACACGAAACCACCCCCTCTAGCCGCCCCACGTGCCCAAGGGGCTCTGCGGATCGGCCGGTCCGGCCGCTTCGATGTCGTCTGCAAGCGGTCGGTTCGGTTCGGTCGGCTGCTGCGCCGCTGTGCATCCTGCTACGCTGCGATCGGTCCGTCGGTTTCGGTCGGCTTCGATTTCGCCGTCGGTTCGGTCGTTTTCCGGCCCTGCTGCCGCCGTGGGCGCCTATGCGTGCCTCCTCCTCCTGCCTCGCTTCTCTTTCACCGCCCCACCCTCCCCGCCTGGTCTCTCCCACGGGCCCTGCAAACTCCGTCCCCGCAAGCTCGGGAACCTGCCGACCATGCAGCACGCCCCCGCCGTGAGCAGGAAAGCGCGGGGGACACCTCCTCTTTCTCAAACGTGTCTCCTCAAGCCTCCGTGTCACTCATCCGTCTGCTCCATCCCCGGGTACTTCTACGGCGGGTTTAGGACCCCCTGGGACCCCCTGGAAACGTCATCTCTTCGGGGTGCACATTATGCTTCCGCCAACTTCCGCCGGCAGACGCGCCCTCGTTTTACTTCCGCTTGTGTTTCTGTAGATGAAGAAGTACTAACTTCTTCGGTCTCTCGAATTCGACGCGCTTTCTGGGATGTCTTCTATATTTACACACACATATGTATGTATGTATGTATGTGGGTATATATATATATGAATATGCACATACGCACCTGGAAGCATTTATCGGTAGTATTGTACACTTGAGTTTGTATGTGTACACACACATGTATATGTACAAAGTTCCTTTCTGTGGTACCCCTGGGCGAGTCGGTCGGGCGGGCTGGGCGTCTCGTCTGAGACTTTCTCACCACGTTTGACCCTGAACCTTGGAATTTGCAACGGCGTCAAGGCTGGGGTGGAGGGCGTCCTCACAGTATAGCTCTCGCCCTAGCACTGCGCATATTCGTCTTCAGTGTTGACAACAGCTCCACGGATGGAAGGGATGTGTCGTCTTTCACATGTAGCTCTCGCCATCACGCCGCGCACACTCGTCGTAAACAATTTGACAGATGTAGCAACTTCAATGAAAAGGGGTCGTATTCAAAACAGAACTCTCGCATTAGCGCCGAGCACATCCACCTTAACAGTTGCACGATACATTGAAGGGCGTAGGGCGGTTCCTTCTCACAGTGGGGCTATCGCAATAGTGCCGCGCCCGTCGGAAGTGAAAGTTGGCACACATTTCAAATATTGAGGGCGGATCCTTTGCAACATGGGGCTCTCGCTTTAGCGCCGCCCACATTCGTCTGGAACGCTTGCAACAGCTACATGGACGGAGGTCGGTACCTGTTCACAAAGAATGGCTTTCGCCTGGGACCTCTGATTTTATACGCTTGAGTACTTGTATATACTAACTGCACGAATGGAAGGCGATTTATCTTCAACATTGTGGTCTCGTTTGGGGACGCAGGTGTTGCAAATCTTGGGGCGGACTTTTTCAAGAACGATATCGCTGGACACCTCGTTGACCTGTATGGCCACATATTTTCACATTCCATGCTACTCGCTACATACCGTCCCTTCCCTCCTCCTCCTCCTCCTCCTCCTCCTCCCTCCTCCCTCTTCCTCCTCCCTCCTCCCTCCTCCTCCTCCTCCTCCTCCTCCCCTCCTCCTCCTCCTCCTCCTCCTCCTCCTCCTCCTCCCTCTGACGCAGCGGTAAGCAGCGATCGCTTCGGGAGCCGCGCCGCGCCGCGGGCGCGCGCGCGGCGGGGCGCCGCCGCCGGCAGCCTCGGGCGCCGCCGAAGCGAGGGGGGGTCCCGTGCTCCGTGGACGAGGCGGAAGGACTTGGCCTCGGGCGCCCCTGTGCGATCGAGGACCACTTCGAGGGGCGGCCCACCCAGAACGCAAGCTCGCGATGATGCGGGTGCAACTCGTCCGCTTCCGACTTCGACGAACCCTCGGCACGTCCGCCAGTCCCCATGAGAGCTTGACGCCAGCAGCCATGAGGGGGGGAAAACATCACTGCGACACCATGGGATAGGAAAGGTGCTTTTTCGCTAGCCTCGCTCGACGACGGGGCCGCTCGGAGGTGCTGGAGCGTCCGTGCACACGCCTGAACCTCGAGCATGAGAGGCTACGGAACAGAGAGCGGCACCATCCAGCCTCGGGAACCTGTCGTTTTTTCGTATCTCTCATGAGCCCAACGAGGGATGGGGGGACCGTAGATTGGCAAAAAAGTGGAACCCTTGACGCCGCGCCCCCCCCTCCCCCCAATGTCAGAGTTGGCCTCAGGCATTTGGCAGCACAGGCGTGAGAGGACAAAAGAAGTTGACCCCCCAGGGCCTCCGAGATGCCGAACCCAACTTCGAAATTGGGGGAGGGGGGGGCGGGCGAATGCGGGGCCGAAGACGAAGGTGTTCCACTTTCTTGTCCCCCTACCGGAAGGATATGTTGCATCCTCGGCGGACCGTGTCTATCCCCTCTCGGCCCTATCCACGTCGAATCGGTGTCGAATCCATGTCGGACTCGTCGGATTCGTATCGAATATCACCCGGGTGACTCCAACCTAAGACCCATGGAGGCCCAACCGGAAAGAAAAAAAAAATGGGGCGCGCCGAAGAACCCAAGGGGTCCGGTTTCGGCGGAGGAAAGAAAAAAACCCTGGCGATGGGGTTCGAGCACGGGGGTTACCCCCCCCTCAAATTCCGGAAGAGGAATGAACTCCCAGCCGCGGGGGTGCCCGCGCGAGGGGCCCCACCCCCCCAAGCGCAACCAGAGGAAGAAAAGCGTGAGAGCCGAGACTGTAAGTGCAATGCAACAACACCTTAATCGCGGTTGCACTAGGGATTTGTATTAGTACGGGAACAACTGAATTACAGCTGGTGAGGTTTGGGTTCGGGTTCGGGCTTATATATTGGGAACCCAGTATATTGGAAACGAACTATATTGGAAACTCAATATATTGGAAACCCACTATATTGGAAACCCAATATATTCGAAACCCAATATATTAGAAACCCGATATATTGGAAACCCAAAATATTGGGAACCCAATATATTAGGAACCTAATACATTGGAAACCCAATATATTGGAAACCTAATACATTGGAAACCCAACATAGGAACAACTGCGCGATAGGACATGATAGTACCAGTTGTACTCAAGTACGAGTTGTACGGTAGTCGGAGGGGTCCAGGGGTTCCAACGGCAACGCGCGCGGGGAAGAAGGAAAGAAATCCATGCGCCGCCAAGGGTCCCGGGTTTAACGGGTCGCCGCGAAGGTTGACCCCCCGCGGAAAGAAGAAAAGAAATCCGGCCGGGGGGTTGGGGGGTTGAGGGATGAGTCACGGGGGCGATTATCGAATCCGTGTCGGATCCACGTCGAATCCACGCCAGCTCCGCGTCGAGTCCACATCGAGCCTGCGTCGGGCACAGGAAAAACACGAATTTTGGGGACAGGCGAGGTCCCCCGAAGATGCAACGTAAGGAAGGGGGCCCCGTCCAGCCAGTCACACGCCCCCGAGGCTCAGGAGGATCGGCCCTGCTGGTGCTCGTCGTCCTCCCCCACCATCCCCCCTCCAGGGCGGCGGCGGCGGGCGGCGGCCGCGGCTCGAAAAATAGGCGGCCACGACGGGCCCAAGGTAGGGACCCGCGAACAAATAGGTGTCTGCGCGCCCAGGCATGTGTAGCAATACCGTGGATGTAAGAAATCAGCGCGAAACCATATCGAGACGTTGGACCTCCGCCGCTCAGTGCAGCCCGGGCCACGACAATCTGGGGGTCAAGAGTTACACATGTGGCTCGCGCTTATTTTCTAATTTTTCGGCGGCGGCCGCGAATCGTGCCCAGCCTGGAACCCGCGGACTTTGAATGGCGAATTTCTAACGTTACGGTTCGGTCGGGCATGTCCTCCTACAGGCGGATGGTGGAGGAACAATTCGACATCCGTCTCCGTTTTTTTTGTTTTTCTTGTTGTTGGTTTTGTTTTGTTTATACATCGTGTATACAAATACACATATATATGTATGTATGTATGTATGTATGTATGTATGTATGTATGTATGTATGTATGTATATATATATGTACTAGAACCACGCGCGCGCTTCGCGCGCGCGTAGGTTCTAGGAAACGCAGGCGCTTGACAATACCACGGCTGCGCGCATTGACGAAATCACGGCTGCACGAATGCACGTACCGACGAATGGCTTCAGCACGGTTTGAAAAATCAGCATGAGGGGCTGCTTGCGGACTGTAGGGGCTCTTTGGGGCCTTCAGTGGGCTTCGTGGGGCATCTGGAGTGCTTCTTGGGGGGGAGCAATTTTGAAATGTTTCGAAGCCTCCGGGGGGCCGTTTTGGGGCATCTTGGGGCCTCGTTGGGGTCTCTGATGGGGGCATTTTTAAGCCTCTTGGGGCCTCTTGGGGGCCTCTTGGGGCGGAAATCTCCATTGTCGGTTCGTGTACCCCCTCTTCAGCACCTCTTGGGGCCGTCTTGAAGCCCTCTTGGACCGTCTTGGGCGACTCTTGGACCGTTTGGGCGCCCTCTTGGGCTGTCTTGGGGGCCTCTCGGGGGCCTTTTGGGCTGTCTTGGGGCGATGTTCGAGGCTTCCTCGGCAATCGTGGAAGGTCAGAAGCCCGAAAACGCGGGCAAGCAAATACATAGGAAAACACAATGAAAAACTGTGATTTTAGCCTCTTGGGGCTCTCTTGGAAAGCCTCTCGGAGCGCCCCTGGGGCTTCTTGGGGGCCCCTTGGGCCTTGATGGGGCTATCTTGAGTCTTGGAGCGCTCTTGGGCCGTCTCGGCGGCTTCTTGCCGTCCCCGGAAGCCGTGGTGGACGCCTCCAGGGGCGCAAAAGAGCCTCCGGACGCCCGGGGGCAAAGTGGGTTACGGGGGGGGGGGAAATTCGGGAGGGTGTCCTGGCCCGGAGCCCTGGCCCCCGGTACCCCGGTATATGATATATCATTTATGATATATGATATATGATATATGATATATGATAAATGATATATGATATGATATATATATATATATATATATATATATAATATATATATATGGTGTGTACATTTTGTTGCAAGATGCTTCATATCGATTGATCGTCGTCCACAAAAATATAGACCCTGCGTTCAGGTGGTTGGCATACGCAAGCTATGAGACCTGTACAGCCGGCCTCTCTGGCACTGAGCAATATTCGTGCTCGGTGGCCACTGCGCTGCCAGAGTAGGTACGCTATTGCTGATGAACAGTGATAGCTTGCGAAGTCGATAAGACACCGACGCTGAGTGGGGTTCCCCTTTGACCTAGTCAGCCGATTCTATAAATCACACTCAGCGGAGGCAAGACCTTCGATACACAGTTTCGACTCCAGGGCAGGCCTCGCAGATTTCCGCCGTGCCCTCCAGGGGCCTCTTACCCGGCCACAGGCTATCGGCACCAACGCGCGAGCGGCGGCCAACGCAGAAAACTGCGGAACAATCGTGAGCTTACGGTGGTCCGCTTCCCCTCATGAGGGCTATAGCCGCACCCATCGATGAGCAAAGGCCGGCCGAGTAAACGTCACCACATTCATGGGGGAGGAACAGGAGGAGGAGGAGAAGGAGGAGGAGGAGGAGGAGGAGGAAGGAAGAGGGAGCAGCCGGCCAGTCAGCTAGACTCTCGAGACCCTCCCAGCTCAGAGGAACGAGAATCCCGCCCGCTGCGCTTCAAATGGACTGCGAGAGGTGGCTGACGCAAATGGTCTCTCATTGTTCCAACCCGGGGCTACAGCCATGCAGCCGCCCCCGGCACTCGGCGTCCAGTCGTGGCTCATGTCCCCCAGGGCCCAATCAGCCGCAATACATAAGACCTACATGAAAAACAATGCGAACACTACCGGAGCCGAAACTGCAAAGCTACAACACCCGTGCAAAGCAAGAGAGGAGAGGAGAAGGTAGGGCGACGAGATCTATGCATATCCACTGCTCCTGGCCAGGCCCATCCTGGGCCCAGGAGCTGTGTATATGCCTCCCTGGCCAGGCCAGGAGGGCGTATACACCGCTCCTGGGCCCAGGATTGGCCTGGCCAGGAGCAGTGGATATGCATAGATCTCGTCGCCCTAGAAGGGGGACAGGGGGAGGGGGGAACAGTTCGAGTACTAAATAATGAGCTTGTCTTGATTCGGTGCGGTGCTGGGCACCCTGAGGCGCTGGTGGTCGGCCGAGGGCCAGAAAGACGAGCGAACCGACCCAGCCAGCTCCCCAAGTCTGCGCCCCAGCGCCGGCCGAGGCCCTCCAGACCCTCGGGGACGGCCTCCAACCACCCAGCCAAGAGCAAGCACCCTGAAACCGGTAACGGCTGGCCAGTAGAGCAACAGTGGGACACTTCACCAATGCATCAAGCCATGTAACGAACAATAATAATACAAAAAAAAACGACCCGTGCAACAAGGCGTGCACCCGCGGGGAAGAGCGGGGAGGGGAGGAAGGAAGGACCAGGCCCACGCCGCCGCCGCGCAGGCGCGCCAGAAGCTCCTGGAAGGCGACCCGCTCCAGCGAATTTATGGTCTGCAAGCCGGTGCCGCTTCCCTCCGCAGCACAGCTCTGGAACTCCGACTGGCCTGATTCGGGGGGTGATCGAGGACGAGACAGGCAGAGAAGAGCTGGAAAGCAGGCCAACCCCAGCAGGGTTAGCCCGCGTTCCGCCTCCAGGAGGCGAGGGCGGGAGGAACGAGACGAGGGGGGAGGAGTGCGGAGCGTTTTCGGAAAGCTCCGGAAGGTCTACCCGGCCATCCGCGTCGCGAATTCGGCGCGTCCTGGACTCGGCGCGCCGCGGCCGCGGTCAAGCTGGCTGCCCAGTGCGGCGCCCAGGGGGGGAGGGAAGGAGGCGGAGGAGGACAAGGAGGAAGGAGGACGGGGGCGAGGAGGGGGGCGGCGAGCGGTCGTCCTGGCCAACTGGCCTCGGACCGTCAGGCCTGTCTGCCCGTGCATCCTTCGGCACGCCATCACGAAACCTACACGCCCAGATTCCGAGAAGGGAGGAGGACGAGGACGAGGACAGGGGCGGCGAGCGGTCGTCTTCGCCAACTGGCTTCAGACCGACAGGCCTCGTGCGACCGTGCTTCCTTCGGCACGCCAACACCATTCAACGAGCACAGATTCCGAGGAAGGGGGGAGGACGAGGACGGGGACGAGGAGAGGAGAGGGGCGGCGAGCGGTCGTCTTAGCCAACTGGTTTCAGACCGACAGGCCTCGTGTGACCGTGCTTCCTTCGGCATGCCAACACCATTCAACGCGCACAGATTCCGAGGAAGGGGGAGGACGCGGAGGCGAGGAGGAGGAGGAGGAGGAGGAGGAAGGAAGGACGAAGGAAAGACATAGCCAACAAAAAATAATACTGAGCAGAGACTTGCGCGTGGATGGTCAAGTCAGTCTGGGCCGCACCTGGCGCCCACGTAGGCCGTGCAGCCACTGCCGCAGGCGGCGGACTCGCGCCGTGCCCACCCTCCCAGGCTGCAAAGCACTCCGCGGGGCCTCCGCCGCCCAGCGCTGCCGCAAGATCCCGGCTGCCCGCAGATGGCCTTTGGCGCCCTCCTTGACGGCCTGCGCCAGCGCCTGGAATCTGTCCTCTTCCGTCCGCGCCCGGCGTGCCGAAGGGAGTTCGTGACCGAGTACACGGCGTAGATGCCCAGGGCCACGCAGGCCAGGTCCTCTTCGGACTCCAGCGCCGGCGAGCAAAGCACCCACGCATGCATGCCAGAGAAAACCTGGGCATTGAGGCGAAATCGAGTCCCCATCAGCCTCCGTACAACTCTGCAACGACTGTAATGCATGATGCTGTCCTCGCCCCCCTCCACCCCGCAAAGGAGGCATCGGCTCTGGTGTCGGCGCTGGAACCGCGCTGCCGTGGTCCAGCGGTTCCAGATGCACCCCCAGACCGCGCAGTGGACTCTTGGGGGGACGAGTGCGCGCAACGCCAGGAGGTTCGCAAGTCCGCGGGATGCCTGGTGGCGCGGCGTCCGCTGGCGGACAGTACCCGGAATCTCAGAGTGTACGCTGGGCGATGGCCTGGTAGGGGGTGGGCGGTGGAGAAGAACCAGGCTGGCGGGATACCCATCCGGCGCTGGATGGGTAGGGGTACCCAGCCGGCACCCGGAGAATACCCATCCGGCGGCAACCCTGAGGTGGGGGGGCACTCAGATACCCATCCGTACCCAGCCGGCACCCGGCAGATACCCAGCCGGCGGCAGCCCTGAGGGGGGGGCGCTCAGATACCCATCTGGCGGCATACCCATCCGGCGCTGAATTGGTAAGGGTACCCAGCCGGCACCTGGCAGATACCCACCCGGCGGCCGCTGGATAGGTAGGGGTACCCAGCCGGCACCCGGCAGGTACCCATCCGGCGGCAGCCCTGAGGGGGGGGGGCGCTCAGATACCTATCCGGCGGCATACCCATCCGGCGCTGGATGGGTAGGGGTACCCAGCCGGCACCCGGCAAATACCCATCCGGCGGCCGCTGGGTACCCAGCCGGCACCAGGCAGATACCCATCCGGCGGCAGCCCTGGAGGGGGGGGGCGCTCAGATACCCATCCGGCGGCATACCCATCCGGCGCTGGATGGGTAGGGGTACCCAGCCGGCACCCGGCAGATATACCCATCCGGCGGCCGCTTGATGGGTAGGGGTACCCAGCTGGCACCCGGCAGATACCCATCCGGCGGCAGCCCTGAGCGGGGGGGGGCGCTCCGATACCCATCCGGCGGCATACCCATCCGGCGCTGGATGGGTAGGGGGACCTAGCCGGCACCCGGCACATACCAATCCGGCGGCCGCTGGATGGGTAGGGGTACCCGGCCAGCACCTGGCAGATACCCATCTGGCGGCAGCCCTGAGGGGGGGTCGCTCAAATACCCATCCGGCGCTGGATGGGTAGGGGAACCCAACCGGCACCCGGCAAATACCCATCCGGCGGCCGCTGGACGGGTAGGGGTACCCGGCCGGCACCCGGCAGATACCCATCCGGCGGCAGCCCTGAGGGGGGGGCGCTCAGATACCCATCCGGCGCTGGATGGGTAGGGGTACCCAGCCGGCACCCGGCAAATACCCATCCGGCGGCCACTGGATGGGTAGGGGTACCTGGCCGGCACCCGGCAGATACCCATCCGGCGGCAGCCCTGAGGGGGGGGCGCTCAAATACCCATCCGGCGGCATACCCATCCGGCGCTGGATGGGTACCCAGAGGATCCCGGGATCAAGATCCCCCGATCCCACCGGGATCAAATCCGGGATCAGATCCGGATCAGATCCGGGATCAAATCATGCTGAGCTTGATCCCGCAGATCCGGGATCAAATCCGGGATCAGCTCATGTAGGATCTGATCCCCGCCTGATCCGGGATCAAATGGTTTTTTTATACACTATCATATTGGATGTAATTTGAACGTTGGTTTGGCTCGTTCGTCTCCCTCATGTCCTCCTAACTCCTAACCGTGAAAACGCATCGGCACATCGCCTGAGACATCCTCGCATTTGCCCAGACACACATATGAGGTTCCCAGGATGCGCGCGCGCGCCCAAGACAACCATAATGCTGCAGAACACACTTGGTGGAGACCTTGGGAGGCCCCGCGAAGCCATGAGACCACTGACACGTGCATTGTTTATGTTGTGCAGCACATTGGGACGCATCGCGTGCCAGGGAGGATGGATGGAGGAGGAGGAGGAGGAAGAGGAGGAAGAGGAGGAGGAGGAGGAGGAGGCGTTGAGCCCTCGTCACCACCTCTCTGGCCCCTAGACGGAAGGTATACACACATCACCTAGGCTTTTATGTATGCGAAGGCTGCTGTTGACGTTGCACAGTTGAGTTTTTTTTTGTTTTTTTTGTTGTTGCTTTTTTTTTATCGGGTTGTTCGGGTGCAGTCGATCGACCACCACTCCAGTATACCGCACTTGATGTCTGTCAGATTACATCGTGATTCCATAGGGATTCCATCGGAATTCCATCGAGTCTTCGCCCGGTAAGGACGGTGAGGGCGGAGCCGCCACGTTCGCATCCATCGCCAACGCGGCTATGGCGGCGGGGTCGTCCCTGCGGGACCGATGGACGCGGCAAACAGAGCCATTGGATCCTTCGAGGCCTTGGGTCATTGGGTCATTGGGTCATTGGGTCACTGGGTCATTGGGTCACTGGGTCATTGGGTCATTGGGTTATCGAGTCCTACTTTCGCTCGCCCTCTCCGCTGAGCCCCTCGCCACAGGGGCCGAGGCGCTGGGTCAGCTCAGGGGGTCATTGGGTCATTTGATAATTGGATCATTCCTTCACTCTTCCCCTACGCTGAGGCCTGATGGGTCATTGGGTCATTGGGTCATTGGGTCATCGGGTCACTGGGTCATTGGGTCATCGGGTCATCGGGCCCATCGGTCCTCAAGACAAACAAACATCGGTCATTTCGTCGCGCGGGCGCGCAGTCCCCGACCTGGGCGCCAGGTCGTTCAGCGCCATCTCCGCAATACTTCACCGCAGTACTTCCTGCCTTATACTTCACCGCAGTACTTCCTGCCTTCCAACGACGCTCGCTTTGAACAGGCTCCGGGACAGTGGCGCACACAGGCGCTGCAGAGAACGTGCCCCGACATCTGCATTTTTCAGATGCTCGTGCGCTCGCTCTGTACCGCACACAGGATTTGCCCGCAACACACTCTCGCATGTGGGCCTCGATGCACCCGACGACGACGACCACGACGACGACAACGACGACGACGACGACGATGACGATGACGACGCCGCCGCCGACGACGGCGACGACGAGGACTGAAGACACCGAAGACGGAACACCGCGACGACGGTCGAAGAACGACGGCGGAGGACGACGGGGCGACGACAACTTGTTCACCATGCGTCCCACATTCTTGCGAACGCCCGTGCGGACTGCTTCTGCTTTGCTGCGAATGATCGCACGTACCTTCCGCGAGGGTGTCCCTAATGACACCGCCACGCACCGCCCCAGATCTGTCGCAAAACCTCCAGGCCGTCTCCACACCTGTACGCGTTCACCAACAGTGTCTCCATCCATCTTTTTTGTCGTCCCGTCACCTGTACGCCACAGACGGCCAAACATTCGAACCTCCCGTGCCCCCCTCTCACGGATCCGTCGTTCGTTCCGACGCTCGCACATCCCCATGCCGTTAGGTCCAATTGCGCATTCGCCAGTCTGCGTCCCCGACCCTGGAAACGCACCCCTTCTTTGGCAGCAATGGCGGCCGCCGTGCTGGGCGCGACTGTGACCCAGTTCTTGGCCGACGACGGGGACTGCGTCTTCGGGCTCAAGGTTCCCTCCCGAAAGCCCTCTCGAGGGCCACCTCCGTTACCGCCCTGCCCCCCCCCCCCACGCTCCCTTCTGACCGCGCGCCCCAGACATTCCCTTCAGGTGTACGCTGTCGCCGCGGACGGCCGCGCTCAGCTCGCCAGCCCTGGAGTCGGCGCTTGCAACAAGGACAAGACTCCTTGGACGCTCCCCACGGAGTACTCTGTCACAGGGCCCCCCACTGAGACCTGCGACTCGGTCGCGCTGTTGGGCAAGAAGGTGCTCGTGCAGAGCCGCAACAGTACGGTCACTTACACACACACCGTGGTCGCGGTGAACGTCAACGACCAACTCAAGGTGGCCGGGTTCCATCACGCACCTTTCCTCTCTTCACCCCTCCCTCACGCAGCAACCTGTCCTGCCGACACCCCACTTCCGTCGGTTCGCCGCCGTCTCCGTGTGCAGTGCCCCTCCCTCGCGCACGAGGGCCCCTTCCCCGCGCCATTCCGGTCCCCCGCCCCCGCCTTCTGACAGTCGCTCCACGCGGCGCGTCCCAGGTGGCCCCCACAGCGAAGGACAAGCAGACCCTCGACAAAGAGTGGCTCCCAGCGCACTTGGTCCAGCATCCGCCTCAGCAGTCGCTCTTCTTTCCTCTCTTCTCCGTGCCTTGCCAGCCCCCCCCCCCTTTCTCCCCGGGCCATTTCTTTGCTCTTCCTGTCGCCGCACCCCCGCGTGCGACGGCTTCTCCGCTCCACCGCGATCGCGCGGACCGCGCTAATCGTGCCGCTCAGTCGCGCCCCGCGCGCCCCCCCCCCCTCGCCCCGAGGCCCTACACGCCGCCCAGCCAGACTACACGCTTCCACAACACGGCGGCGCAGCTGCTGCAGAACACGCAGCCCCCCCCGGCCTTGACGGCCGCGCCCAGGACGCCGCCGCGCCGCCCAGCCCTGCGGGCTCTGCAGGATCCTCTTCCAGAAACGGCGCGCCTCCGGCCTGCCCGCGTCGCTCACCAGCCGCGCCTCCCTACGCCCCCCCACCCTTCGCTCTTCTCTTCATTGCTTTCATCCGCATTCCCCGCCCTCGGAGGACGCACCCCGGTCGCGTTCACCTCCGGCTGCTTCGCGGGCCCCTACGCGCGTCTACGTGGCAAACCTGCCCTGGGACACGGCCGCCGCCAACCTCGAGCGCGACTTCGCCACCGCCGGCGAGGTGGCCGCCCTTTCCCCTTGCCCGCCCCTCCAGCGGCGCTCTTTGCCCTCCTCCTGCAGTCGCCCGTGGCGTGCCTGCTTTGCCCACCTTGCACGCGCGTCCGTCTGCGACGTGCCCAGGTGGCCAGTGTGCAGCTGTTCCACGACAGCCGCAACCGCTTCACCGGCCAGGCGGTCGTTCAGTACGCGCGCCACGAGGCGGAGTTCTTTTTTTCCCCGCCTCCCGCCCCTCCTCCGTGCATTCCGTTGCTGCACACCCGGCGGGCGCCGCCCTTGTCCACCCTGGTCTGCGGCGCCCCTTTTCCACTCTCTCTCTCTTTCTTCACCATCTCTC